TGAGACCCTGAACCCTACACCCTATCTTAGATGCCAAAGTACATAAGTCAAGGTTTGAACGCATTCGTTCTGCTCTGCGTTTTGGCCGCGGACTCAGGGCTGCCTAACCAGAATTTGCGTTTATTCGGCCTGAAGTAGCAGAACTTCAGAATTAGGGTTGTGGTTTGGGGCCTGCAAGGCTATTACTATTGCAATCATTATTCGCACTATTATACTTCCAGTTACTATCCTTACGGCGTCCACCCAGAGTATAGCTTCAGAATCCTAAGCCCTAAACCCCCGAAACGCTAAACCCTCAATCCCTGATCCCTAAACCCTAAACCCTAAATCCCTAAACCCCAAGCCCGAATCAAGTGTGAGAGCTGAGCATGGCTTAGGTGGGCCAGCTTCGACTCCTTGGCTGCCTGAAATCCGATATCGCTTGAAGCCTACATCTCGGGGTGGAGGGAATGGGGTTTACGGGGTTTGAGCGTTTCAGGGTTTAGGGATGTTTAGGGGGTTAGGATTGAGAGTTAGAGGCTGGTAGAAGGAGGGGCTTCGAATTTAAGATGTCGCCTGAAACCTACTGAAGACCGGTGCGGTGCTGCAGCTGTTCCTGATCACATCTTCAGCATTACTTTCAGTATTGCTTGACTTGGGACAGGCGCTTCTTGCCGGTCTTCAACTGGCTGCGCAGATGATGTCTTTCAGGTCTCCGTGCCTCAGAAAGGCATATGGGTGGTTGTCCAAATTATGGTCCCTTTTGGGGTACCCTAAATATTAGGTGCTGTATTATAATAGGGATCCAAAAAGGGACCATGATTTTGACAACCACCCATATACTTTCCATGCAGCTGCTTTTCCTGCAGGCTCTTTTGCCAGTCGTGCTGCTCCGACCCTGGCTATTGCAGACTGCTCAGGTTGCCTCTCACTACCCGTAGCGCGCCTTAAGTAGATAGAATATGAGTCATATGGGGATCTTAGTATAATATACCCAAAGCATCCCAAAGCCATATTCTATCTACTAAAGAAGGACTGCGCATCTGAGTTGTAATGATTGCATGCTGACGCTGCCCAAGGTGCAGCCAGCGATAGAGTTCCCCATGATGAAGGTGCTGGGTGTGAAGCCCAGTTCCACAGGAAGAGCCGCCAAGACTGCAGCAGCAGCATGAGTTACCACTTGAAAAGGCGAGATAGGCAGAAGAGAGGGTTGCTGAATTCAAAATGTGGGCAAACCGTCTCCACAATGGCGTTGGGATGGAACCTACCTGGACCCCCAAAGTATGTAGAATAATTGCCTTTTTGGGCTATATTTAGGGGTTTTGGGCCATTATTTTACCTACTTTGCAGGTTTAGGTAGAAGTTTCCAGTTGATGTCATGTTGCTGGAGGTCTTTCAGCAATCTTTTTTCTGCAAGGCAAGAACTGGAGGAGCGGCTGGGCACCTACTCAGAAGAGTGCCCTCTGGGTAGGCCCCTGGGATATTTAATGGATTGTATAGAGATAATAGGGTATATATTGGGGTTACATAGGGATAATGGAAAATATCATGGCAACTACTATTTGGGGTTTAGGGTTTACCAAGCGGCATGGTGTAGGGCGACGGGAAACAGATGTTGGATGTCCATGTTGATGGCAGACACCAGGATCTGGAAGCATGCAATGTAGAAGCCTCAGCATTAAGAAAATGTTGTTCCTGGATCCGTTGTGACTCCCAAAGTGACACCTCAATATACAAGGATCTCGCTACATTCTAGTTACTTAGGAGTTGTTTTGGATCTGTGTAACTGGATGAATGATCTCGGAACAAATCCGGATATGTCCATCCCTAAAGCATATCATGCCGCTTCAAATCAGTGAGCATAAATGAGTGTCCTCAGGTGTTGGAGGGGTGAGTGCCTTCGTGACAATTCAAATAAAAGCCAGACAGCAGTCAGAACATCAACATCCTTCGGAGCAAGCTGAGAACAATGCAAACCGCAGTTGAAAGCGGGCAACGACAGTACAAGCAAGAATTGGGAAATCTCCATTTTTTGAGGACCACATCCTTGCAAATCCCCATTGCTCTCCAAATAGACCTACATATCCTATCAGATCCCTGTAAACCCCCAAAGTCCTCTAATTGCACCCTAAATCCTAAACCCTAAACCGCGAACCCCCAAAGTCCTCTACTTGCATCGGCTGCTCCAGGTATGTCCAACTGGCCTTCTCTGAACAAACGGAGCTGGAGCCTTCAGGCTCCTGTCTGGAAATTGTTCTAATGGGGTTACATAGGGTTTAGGGTTAAGGGTTAAGGGTTTAGGGTTTAGCACCCATTGGGATTATATTGGGGTTAAATTGGGATTATATTTGGATCGTCTGGGGATAATGGAAAAGAAAATGGAAGCTCTTATAATGGGGTTATATAGGGTTCAGGGTTTAGGGGATATAGGTACCCATTGGAGTAATATTAGGGACATATTGGGATAATGGAAAAGAACATGGAAACTACTATTTAGGGTTTAGGGTTAAGGGTTGAGGTGTTTAGGGTTGAGGGGTTAAGCGGTGTAGGTGTTGAGGGTTTAGGGGTTTAGGCTACAGGGTGTAGGGGTTTAGGGTTGTAGAGAGAGAGAAGGGGGTTTAGGGGTTGGGGTTTAGGGTTCAGGTTTAAGCTCACATAGTTGGGAAATTAGAGGTTGCTGTAGAGCTGTGGCATATATACAGCCAAGAGTGAGTAATCAAACAGACAAGCAAAAATCGACATGAAATGGAACCTGGGATTATATAGTTTATAGCGATTAGAGACTGGGGCATGGGGTTCCTACACTGAGGATCATCGTATTTCAGGCTCTACCTGAGGGCCCCTACTTGCGACCCCCGTCCCCTATGGATCTGTCAAAAAGGGTACTACTCCAAGGGATCAAGAACTTGGACTTAGCAAACCGCATCAAGCCAGTGCATCAGACATCTAAAGCTTACAGCTCCTCCCTGAGGGGCAGGCGCAAGAAGGGCCCGTGATTCTGGGAACCCCTAATCATTATAAACCACTGTACAATCCCAGAGTCCCTTTCATTTTTAATTCTATTACTAAGGACTGTATCCCCACATGCCAACTTAAGACTCAGAACAACTTCCCGAACAATCTCTAGACATCTTCTAACAGGGCAACCCTAAACCCTAAACTCTAAACCCATAAAAGTTGCAGGGAAGCTCAGGTTCTTCATGGGTTTCTTCGGGTGCCGGAAGCTTGCAAGAGTAAGTTCCTGAAGCCTGAAGGATATGTACTAGTTTCCATGTTCTTTTTCTTTCTCCGTGTATAACCCCTTGAAGCATAGGACTCAGGGGTTTAATTTCGATTCCTGAGTCTTATCTTTCAAGCTTGGAGGGATCTGCGGGTGGAAGGCTACATCCCTCGGGGTTTTGACTGTAAGTAGCGCAGAATCCAGCACATACTTGGGTCCCTCATCTCTTCTCGCAGGCAATCAATGAAGATTTTCTGGTGATTCCTTTCAATAATGGAGAATCAAATGGAAAATGAAACGGACATGGGTTTTATATAGCGGTACTTAATCCGCATCGGTCACCCGTCCAATCCCCCACATCCTCTCCATTGCTCGTCCCATGTTTTTGGGTAGTTCATAGGGGCCGCCTATGCGATTGTCTGCTCCTTCTCGAGGCAGCCCAGTCTACTCTTAAAGCGAAACCTCAGCAAACAGCTTCTACGGGCTGGAAACATTTTTGTTGAATTTTGTTGATAGGTGCTACACTAATTTTCTCACATGCCCGCCTTGCCTTGCAGGAGACTGATCATGAACTCAGTTGATTACGAGGTAATGAGCGAGAAGACTAGTGACTAGTTGATTCAAAGCCCGTTCCGGCATGTCGACCCATCGCATCGGGTTCAAGACCCCCTCATTCCTCGAAACGAAACTTTCCTCCGAAAACTTACATCTGAGTTGATGCCGGAAATTTGCGGCCTCCGGAATCGTGGCTCATTGCCTGGCAGGGGTTGCTCAAGGGGTGAGACAACTACGCGCAACGTCACAGGTTGAGTGAAAGCTGCGCATCATACAACTTCAGCCTCAGCGCTGTTAACATGTCAACTCATCATCCAGCTGGTCGATTTTGAGTCGTGCATATGGTTAAAAGCCCCCTCGCTACAATTCAATGCATGCCGACTTGATCGCAAGCCTTCGAACAGCTGCCTTGAGTGACTTGTGCAGGGCCTGTTGATATAGCCAAAAGTGACAGAGTGTCACAGACATGTTTTTGTGGCTACATAAACTTACAGGAGTTCTGCAAGGACGTGCAGCAGGGCTCACTCTAAGCATTGCATGGCATGGGATTTGGAAGCCGCCCGACACGGCGCACACTTCCTGGATGATGCACTGAGGGCTGCCCTGGGGGAGCTTTGGTTCTTTAGATCCCGCGAGCTGGAAGGCAAAGCGCGGCTTGATTCTTTGCAGCGAGCCTGGGTTGTCATCGAAGTCAATGGGGTCTCCAAAAACCTGCCCATGGGGGGCTCATCTTGACATTTAGGTGTAACTAGGGGAGCTCGACGTCAATGCGCCTCAACAAACACGTGCATTCTAGCATGGTCCGATGAATCGCCAAGGAGCAAGGGGCTACTTGGTGAGTGCGCTGGCCCAGGAGACTGCTGAAGGGGAAGCCATGTCGCTTCATGTCTGGCTGAACCGAGTATCTGGACGTACAGTAAGTGTAGGGGCTAGAGCTATTGGATTCTATATTAGCTTCCCTGCTGATAGTAGATTCCATTTAATTTTCGGTTTGATTCTCCATTATAGGAGTATGTACGGCTGCAAGAACTTGCATTGCGACTGGTCCTTCCTTCCACAACAGTCAGCCAGGTCCTGGATGCTCAGGGAGATCTGGATGCGTGTCGACATTGGGCGGAGAAGTGCGTATTTAGAGGCATTCTTTGGGAACATCCCTACCAGCGTCCAGGGCACTTTCTTCGGGGCTTGAAGTCGCAGCCCTGGCATTCTGCACAACAGTTCGAGCTGTGCAGGAGACTGGAGTCCGCCTATGAAGCCATTAAGGCAGAGCTTCTTGCACTGTCATCCGTGCACCCTGAGTGGAGCCGGGTTGGAGGCCGTGCAGCCCATGATGGAGGATTGATACAAAGTGGAGATTGGCAGGAGGTCATCCTGTTGGGGGACTCCGAACACTGCTTTGCTAATCGGCAGAGGTGTCCAGCCACGTCCACTGCATTAGCTTCTCGGCCCGAGGCTGTAGAATGTGCTCGGCTGGGTGTGGGCGAGGCGTTGTTCTCCTTACTGAAACCTCACACCAGCCTCCGAACGCACTGCGGCCCTACAAACATGCGCTTGACATGTCATCTTGGGCTTATAGTACCAGATGACTGCCACATTATTGCCGGCGGCGGCCCACCGAGGAAGTGGAAAGAGGGTCAATGCATTGTGTTCGACGACTCGTATGAGCATTCTGTAGAGAATCGTTCCGACCAGAGCAGAGTCGTTCTCTTGGTGAACTTTTGGCATCCTGATCTTCCTCCTACTGATTGGGCACGGTTGGCAACCTTGGCATCAGGAGGTGGATAGCAGAAGGGTGTTACACAGACATTGCTCATGGAGGATGAACGGGCAAAAGCCCAGGTCAAGATCCAGGCCGAAAGACACTTTGGGGGTGGTTCCATAAAGCGAGGCCAGTGGAAATCCTCAAGTCTCCAGGTGCCCAACCAGAGAATCTGCTGGCGCGCAAGCAGTTAGCAGAGCTGAGGTCAAGGACAATCCCATACGCGGTTTGGGTTTTAGGGCTTGCCCGGCTGCCAGAAACCTGCTGGCAAGGATCTCAGAGAGCCTAGCTGCAGAAGGTGCTAAAAGGAACAACATGCTGCCACTAGAAACTCAACATACGTGCCTTGCGACATGCCTCATGCAGCCCTATCCGCCAGCCATGTGTACAGCATGATAACGCTGGCCAGGTAGCTGTCATATCCGCATCCATGACAAGACTGATATGTGCTAGAAGAGATTGTCAGGTGTGCAACTTGGTGTGTAATTTCCCCCGGCAATGCTTGCCTTGCCCTTATGTACTAGGTAGGAAAAGACAAGTTATAGCCAGGTAATACCTTCAAGTCTCTCAGAATGAAGATTAGATTGCATCATGGATATCACCAGGCTTCTTGATAACATGCCTATACCTCCAATTTCCTCAACTCTTCGCTGAGAGGCTGTCTACCAAGCTTGTATACCTCTCACCCTCTAGACTCTGAACCCTTAGACCTTGAACCCTCAAGCCCTCCAACCCTAAACCCCTTAAACCCCAAACCCTAAACCTCCAAACCCCCTAAACCCCCAAACCCCCTAAACCCAAAAGAGGCTGGGGCAAGAAGGCCTGCGTTGTTTGTGCCCGACTGCGGTCGCGACGCTGCAAGCACTGCAAGCCACGATCCTACGAATGGGTTGTTGTTAGGGCACTTAACTTTTAGGGTTTAGGGTTTAGGGTAGCTAATGATATGAAACTTCTTAAAGGGGGGTTTAGAGGGGGTTCTCTAGGGGAGTGTTACAGCGGTTTTTGAGGGGGATATTGGGAGTTTGGACTAGCTCATATAGGTGTAGGAACTTAGATGAAGTTACCATAGTATGGGTATACAGGGTTTAAGGTTATGTAGGGTGTAGGGTGTAAGTAATTTATCTTGAACTTTAAGCTATTATAAAAAGCAACTTACATCAAGTTACTATAATACAGGTATATAGTGTTTGAGGTTATATAGGGTTTAGAGTGTAAGCTACCATTGTATGGGTATATAGGGTTTAGAGTGTAAGTTACCATAATAGGGGTGTATAGGCTTTGAGGTTTAAGCTACCGCATTTATTGGTAATTAGGGTTTAGGCCTAAGTTCCCATAATATGGGTAGATAGTAGATGATGGGTTAGGGTCATGCAGGATATTTAGCATCCACCGTATGACGCATGAAGGCAACATGTGTTTAGTACTGTTGATACTAGAAATTCTGCATGACCTTTGTATACTATAATCCCAGAATTCCCAAAATATAAGGTACTTAGGGTCATGCAGGATTCTTAGTATCCACCGTATGATGCGGGGCCGGCATTTCTCTCATCCATTGACTTGGCAGAGCTTGGCGGGGAGGGGGGGGTGAACAGGCCTTGTTCGTCTCAAGTAAAGGTGAAAGGGAAACCCTGTTGTTGCGACGCAGCCCCTCGAAACTTACAATAACTCCGGACCCCCAAAGTCTTGGCGAACACAGCATCATCTCTCCAAAGCTTCCCATAAATACTGGAGCCTCCGTGAACGCTCGGCGGACTCCGTCTGCATTGAACCGAAAGATTTTGGCATATATCCGAAAGGCCTACAAGCGTGGTCATCATCAGGCATAATATGACATAGTCATAGTAAGTGGAGGGCCAGGCCAAACAATTCTGCGGATTCAACGGCGCTACAAGACAAAATCCGTCATGATGACAGCAGTGACCATGTGGAGGATGGTTTTGAATATCACGAAGCAAGAAGCTCTCGACAAGCGAGCGCGATGTCAGCATTTCCGATATGCTGAGGCAGTGTGGGCGTTGCGTCGCGAGGTTCGACCACCACTGCCCCTGGCTGGGAAACTGTGACTTCGCGGCATGTAACTGTGGAAGGTTGAATGGGTGGGAGTTTCATCAATCAACCGATAGACTTGTGTAATGCTAGTGCCATGCTCGCAAGCCTATTCGGACCATGTCGTCCCTGCGGTAGCTAGGCAATGTAGAGTCCTCAATGATTGCGAATGGGTAGGTCGAGTAGGTCTTACAAACTTAGACTGTCAGAGCAGAAAGGAATTCATAAGGATTGTTGATGCCAATGAGGTCATGCGGGCAGAGAGGGAGCCTAGCATCTTCAGGATCCTGCTTAAGAGCTGAGCCTCTCCATTACTTCTAGTAGCAGAAGTAGTAAGTAGTAGTTAGCAGTCGTAGACGTTGCAGTCATAGTAGTACTATATACTATGTAGATAGAGTACCAGCAACTGATGGGATGAGAGGCAACTTTGCCTCACTAGTTCTCCCACCATGCTTCCCGAGCTTGCCCCGCGCAAGGGGTTGCAGACGTGCAACAACCGCAAACACATTTTGGAACTGCTTCACACACACAGACATTTGTCCAAGTATTCAATTAGTTTCCAGTGTTTTTTCCATGTGAGTCTCCATGTTTGCCACCATATAACCCCAGATACCCGTATATCCAGACTCTGTCACCGGCAACAACAGCGCTGCTTGCACCAGGCCTCCCTACCATAAGGTTAGAACTGCAGTAGCCGATCTCATTTTTGTTCAAGGCTAACTCTCGATTCCTAGTTGGTTCATGGAGCAGAGTTCCCCTCTTGCAGAAGCAGCGAAGGCAGCAGTCTCTTTTTTTGTTCGCTCAAGTGTGCTAGCTTAGAACAAGTCCCTCTGTGAAGTCAGCATCGATTTCTGCTTCAAACTAGGACGCGACATGGGAGCTTCTTAAAAGCGACCCTTCAAAATCCTGCGTCAGGACCCCCCATGCTCGCATCACATATGCCTTGTTCTGCAAATTATGGGTCCTTTCTAGTTATAGATTAGCATATTTAGGGATACCACAACGGGACCCTAATATTGGCAGCTACCCAATTTTCATTTGGACTCCCTAGGGCTCCTTGATCAAAATCACCTGCATCATCCCATCTCTCTAAACCATTCAAGCACCAAAGTTTCGCCAAAGGCGTCGGTGAGGCCAATTTGTGCCCTGACTGAATCTGAGGACAGCAAGAGGGGTGGATTCCCCTCATGAGTTTATACTTGCTTGACCTAACCTATCTTGACCTTAATCTGAAGGTTTCCAGAGGTCGTCCACTTTGCTTTACTAAAGCCAAGGAGAGCAATGTAGCAAGTTCCTAGTGCGCAAGTTGGCAGCACCTGTCGCCCTGATGCTGAGGGGAATTTTCCTGCGGTGCTGAGCTTAGAAAGAACTCTGGATTGCATTTGCGGTGCACCAGTGGATTGGGATGTCACTTTCAAGCCGCAACCCACGCGAAAGCGCAGCTGACATTACGATGCAGCTCGATTCTTTCAAGTTTGCACGTGCCAGTTGCTTGTACGCAGTGGCCGTTGTGCGCTAGATAATAATAATCGTAGTAATAGCAGTAACAATTCTAGTAATAGTAGTACGTAGCAGTAATATTAATCCTGATAACAGTGACAATAGTACCCTCAATGAGAATAATCATAATAATGGTGAACCCAGAGAACAGACTTCGTAAATATCACTGGCTGAGGTTTCTGGCCTCAACACTCCTGCCGCGAGCCTTGGTTTGAGGATGGTTGCAGCATCCATCCAAACTTGCCGATGTTTACTAGGAAGTGGAGGGGCATGGGTTATAGGGACTATCATAACGGATCAGATAAGCACTACCATAGGATGCATTCCTCCATCTCCTACCAACCACCCTACACCCTAAACCCCACCATTGCACTCTTTCATCAGTTTATTTTTCCTTCTATTTAACAGTAGGGGATGCTCTAACAAAGTTAAGCTCTAAACCCCTAAGCCCAAAAGCGAATCAGCTGCACCTTGCGAGGTCGTTGCTGCTCGCTCTGGGTGTCGCCTCGCGTGGCCTCGAGGCAAATACAGTACAGGGATAATGTAGCGTTATATAGCGACATATGCGTTACAGGGTCATATAAGCATCCAATGAGGAGTATGGAAACCTTGTTCTAGCAGAATTTCTATCAGGAATCAGCATACATACTCAGGATTTTGGCCAGGGGGAGGGCTGCACTAAGTAATCCTGAAATGAGACACTTTCGAATCAAGCACATCCCCACCTGATCTTGAACATGCATGCTTCCAACAACATGTTTCGGACTACTTGAGGGAGACTCTTACTTCTGGGTGTGGGGGTGGTGCCTTATTCGTGGGAAGCAGTAAATCTGATTCAACCAGGACATGGAGGCACAATTAGCTTGTAAAGGCCCAATTTCACATGCGTAGTTCCCAAAATTCGGGTCCCATTTTCGTACCCCTAAATATTAGGTACCATAATAGAATCCATAACCAGAAGGGGGCCATAGTTTTGAGAACAACGCACATGGTGTCGACCTTTGAGGAGGCTAGCTTGGCATTGCGCGGGGTTGAGTCTCCCCTGTGGTACGATGCCGCCGTGGGCCCAGCTCTTCAGCATCTTATTGTCCAGCCAGGTAGAATTCTGACAGCAAATCCTGCCCTCCCAACTCATATACAATCTTGATATAGCCCTTGAACGACCCCTGTATCCCCTAGGTAGTCCCCAGAATCATTACCTTCTAGGGAGCTTCACAAAGAAAAACCAGGTCAGCATTCTGGTGGCGATTGACTGCCTCCTGGCACCCCTGCTCATGGGTGGTTCTAAAGGATGGTGTGCTTTTATGGTTGTATCCGTGGACAGGCTTAGGGTTTAGGGTTTAGGGTTTAGGCTTTGTTTGTGCAGCTGACCGCATCTAACTGGGCAATTTCAAGCAACCACCCGGCCTCACCCTAAATGGTGGTTTATATAGGGATTAGTACCAAAACGGCAATTCATTGAAACAACTGCCGGCGA